GGAGCCATGGGGAGGGATGGGGAGCCATGGGGAGGGATGGGGAGCCAAGGGGAGGGATGGGGAGCCAAGGGGAGGGATGGGGAGCCATGGGGAGCGGCAGATGAAGCTTCGCTCGCTTGCCCGTCGCTCACCTCCTGCTGTGCAGCCTGGTTCCTAACAGGCCCTGGACCGGTACCAGTTCTGTGGCCTGGGGGTTGGGGACTCCTGTTCTATGGAGTAAAAACCAGAGTCAAGATCCTAATGATCCACCTTCCGCTCTCCTGCTGGCCTCAGCTCTTCCTATTCTCTGTCCTGTCCTCCACCCACCCTGCGTCCTGGGTGTTCAACCTGTGAACACACAGACCCACCCCTCCCCAGAAGCACACATTTCTCCAAATGTCCAGTGACCTGCATCCTCCTAGTCTTTGCTCAAAGAACAGCTCCTTAATGAGACCTGCTATGACTTCGTGCTCTCTGTCCTGTGTCCCAGAGGTCCGCAACACCCGTCCTCAGCCTGTCGCACAGCAAGAGGTGAGCGGCGGGCTAGCGAGCAAAGCTTCATCTGCCGCTCCCCATGGTTCCCCATCTCTCCCCATCGCTTGCATTACTGCCTGAAGCATCCCCTGGGTCTGTGGAAAAATTGTCTTCCACAAAACCGGTCCCTGGTGCCAAGAAGTTTGAGGACCGCTGCTCTATCCCCCTCTGTTTTTAACCAGAGCACTAAGCCTCTTCTAACCTTCTTATTTATTTTGGTTTCATTTTTAATCTGTCTCCCCTGATGAGAACATTAGCCACACAAGAGCAGGGATTTTGTCACTTTTTCCCCTTTTGCCGTATCCCCAGCACTACAACAGTGCATAGCACATAATAGGTTCTCAATAAATGTTTTCACTGGAAAAAAAAATACACTTTTGAGGAAAAAAAAATATCCTTGCTAAGATGACTGTGGCCATTCAAATATTTAGAAAGTATTTATTTCCTTTTTTTTTAATGGTCATCTTGGAGGAGGACTGTCAGAAAAATCTCCCACGTTGATGTGTCCCCTTTCATTTTACTTCTAGCATTCCAATACAGTGAGATATAGAAATGCACAAAGAGAAGACAGTGAAATAAAGATGATCCAGGAGAAAAAGGAGCAAGCAGAAATGAAAAGGTACGGGCAGGGCGGTGTTTTGAGGCTCTCATCTGGGGAAGGCAGACGTGCCCTTAGCCTAACTCTCGCACGATTTTCCTGGTCCAGGAAAGTGCAGGAAGAGGAGCTGAGGGAGAACCACCCGTACTTCGATAAGCCCCTGTTCATCGTGGGTCGGGAGCACAGGTTCAGAAACTTCTGCCGAGTGGTGGTCCGAGCTCGATTCAACGCGTAAGTGACTCCACTGCAGCCAGGGGTTTGGCCCTGAGTCGTGCAAACAGCAGGGGGAGTTGTCATACGAGGAAGAAGGATCGTGTCGTCCTGATGGGGTCACCAATAAACCGTGGGCTAAATGACCATGCTGCTTCTCATGGCTGAGCCGCCGACCAGGGGGGAAACAAACAAAGGTTGCAAGTAGGTAACATTTATAGAAAACACACGTTTATGAAGTACTTCACAGCCATTCTTATTTGTTCAGTTCCACAGGCGCCCAAGATGTTGATAGCAGAGTTGTTAACTCCATATTTTATTTTGGAGACAGTTAACCAAGGGGAGATGGAATGACAGAGCTGAGGTCACTGCCCACATCTTCTTTTAGACTCGCTGTTTCTTTGTGGTCAAAATACCATAATTCTAGAAATCAAGTCAACTAGTGCTTCTATTACCAACTCTTATGAGAAGAAAACCCACTGGCCAGTGTCCCTGTCCCTCCCCACGTGGAAGAAATGTGCGAGAGGGTGTCAGGGTGACCAGCCCAGGGGATGCTGCATTTGGGACAAGCCAAGCCACGTTTAGCAGGCAGCCAGTGGAGGAGGTGGGATTCTTGTCATGCACAACTCTGAGTAAATACCCAGAAGACGTTACTAGTCTGGAGAAAGTGTGAAAACGTTCCATTCGGTAGTTGTACCTTCCCTGATACCATCATTAGTAGCACATGTATGAGCATTACTGTATGTTATGGGCTGAATTGTGCCCCCCTCGTCCAGAGAAATTCAGATGTTGAAGCCCTAATCCCAGCCCCTTAGAATGTGACCTTACTTGGAGATAAGGACTTTAAAGAGGTAATTAAATTAAAATGAGGTCATTCAGGTGCACCCTAATCCTATATGACTGGTGTCCTTGTAAGATGAGGAAACTTGGACACAGACTGCTATAAGGAGGGACAACGTGAAGATGGCCGTCTACAAACCAAGGAGAGAGGCCTGGAGCAGATCCTTCCCACAGCCTCGGGAGGTGCCAACCCTACTGCCACCTTCAACTCAGACGTCCACCTCCAGAACTGGGAGAAAATAAGTTTCTGTTATTTAAGCCCCTCAGCTTGCAGTCCTTTGTTACAGCAGCCCTAGGAAACTAATACATTCTCCTAACCCCTCAGGGCTGGAGGAGACCTCAGGAGCCATTTGGGGTCATTTGTGTTCCCTCTTCTCCAACAGAGGAGGGCATTTAGGTCAGCCGAGGGTAAGGGCTTTGCTCAAGGATGGCAGCTAGGGCCCTCTCTGACTGCCAGTCTACTGTTCTTTCTGCTATTCTAGAAAGACCTTCGCAGTTTAAAGCACCTGAGTGATAATGATTTAAAACCCTGAGTTTTCACAAAACATCAATAGGAAGAAGCTGGCAGTGTAGAGTTGATTTGATCAGTTCCCAGATTGGGTTTTTCATCTGAAATTATCCCATTGGCTGTCTCCATGTTTACATCTAATTGTTAATTCTTGAAGACTGGTCATGGGCTTCCTGAAAGTAAAAGTTATAAATCCCCACCCCAAGAAATTCTATATAAATTACTCCACACGATCACAATTAAATACAGAGCAAAGAATTCTATTTAATTTATGGATATTTAATTAAATAATTATGAGGAAAAGCGCCAAACTGCTAAGGCAAAGACTTTGAATGTTTTTAAATGGAAGTCAAAATTTAATTTTGTAATATCTTTGTCAGAAATTGTTGAATGGCGTCATGAATTCTAAAATCAGGCATTTTGAAAAATGTAAACTTTGCTTTCCTAAGCATCAATTGCAAACTCTTCTGATTTTTCTTCGATCTAATGTTCTCTGCCTTCCAAAGTCACCTACAGTTAACATATATCATAACAGACATTTTGTAGAGAATGTGAGAGAAATTTTAGGTAGATGAGATGTTTATACGTACTATGCTGCCGAGTTATAACACGCATACTGTGTCACAGAGTTTATATGTTTGTTCTCTCTTACAGATCTAAAACAGATCCTGTCACAGGAGCTGTGAAAAATACAAAGTACCATCAACTTTAGTAAGCATTACAAACTCTGTTTCCATGCACATTTGAATTTTCCATGTACTATTTTATGCCGCATAAAAATATAAAAATTCCCTTTATTTTCTTGTTATATTGTGCTGTGAAATAGACGATTGGCGATTCATTTAAACAATGCCAGTCACGTTTATAGAATCACAGATGCATCGTCTCTGACTTTCAGCAACCTTTCCTAGAGTGTTTGCGTTTCTCAGTTTTGTCTGGTCTTTGGCAGTGATTTGCTGGGATTGGTGACTTACCTGGACTGGGTCATGATTATCGTAACCATTTGCTCCTGCATTTCCATGATGTTCGAATCCCCCTTCCGGAGAGTCATGCACGCACCCACTTTGCAGGTACTCTGCCGAATCTCAACTCACAGCTAAGCGGAGAAACGCTGACCTGCAATTTTTGCATTCATTGTGACCAACCTGCCTTCTGCCCATTTCAGATCGCCGAGTATGTGTTTGTGATATTCATGAGCATTGAGCTTAATCTGAAGATTATGGCAGATGGCTTATTTTTCACTCCAACTGCTGTCATCAGGGACTTCGGTGGAGTCATGGACATATTTATATATCTTGTAAGTCTTCGGTTATTTTCCTGAATATAAAATATAATGGTTTTGTAAAATCTCCTGCATTTCTTGGTACAAGAGTGAGATACGTGAGTCACAGAGGTTTAGGTGCCATTAACTGAGTTCCTAAGTAGAGCAGTAGTTTAGTATAGGCAAGTAAAGGGCATACATGTAAAATCTAAATAAAAAGCATTAAAAATATTCATGGATATGGTTCAAATACATCAACCACATGCCTGTATGCATAAGACATACATTAATGAGGTCTAAGGTAGCAAATCTAGTTTGCACACCACAATTCTTGTGGCACCTATACTAAAAACAAACAAAACAAAACAAAAAAACTATATAAGTGATCAATGAGCCGCTTATCACTGAAAGCAAACTAGAGAGTATGCCAATTCCAACACACAAAATACCAGGCCAGAGAAGGCAACCATTCAACTATCTATTTAAACTAAACGGGGAAACCATAGGAAGGGACTCAAAGAAATTTCTTTCTATATGTCCAAGAAGGCATAAAATCAGTGTCTTTTCCAACACAACAAGGAGAATTGTGACCATTAACATGTAGCATGTTTAGATCATTAACAAAATAGCGAGTATTCATAGTCCAGTGTGAGGTTTAGTATCCTTGATCTCAATCCTGCTGACTTCTGCGGCGCCTCCAGTATATATGTTAAAAGAAGGGGCAGGAGGCACTGGAGTACCCACACCCACGGTGTGGGTACCCCCATTTCACACCCCCTGCAAACACCTGATGACTTCCTTTGGGGCTGCTCACAGGTCTGGATCAAGTCCATAGAGATGAGTTGCATGTACACCCAGCGAATGCTTGCCCCACGTAACACGTGGAGTCTCTGCTAAAGGAAACTTGTGGCCAGCTGGCTCACAGAAAATGTAGATAGTAGAGGATAAATTGCATAAATTCTAGAGATTATTTTTTCCCTCTAGGTGAGCTTGATATTTCTTTGTTGGATGCCTCAAAACGTGCCTGCGGAGTCGGGAGCTCAGCTCTTACTTGTTCTCCGCTGCCTGCGACCTCTGCGGATATTCAAGCTGGTGCCTCAGATGAGGAAAGTCGTTCGGGAACTTTTCAGCGGCTTCAAGGAAATTTTTCTGGTACGTTACAGTCACCCTTTACTCCTGGTTCACGGAGTACAGCTCTTAATGTAGCAAATGAGGGGATAAAGTGAGTCTCGCTTGTCAAGGTTAAGTGTACCATTTTGTTTATTGCCAGAAGATTGTAAAGGTACTAGCAAAACACAACACAGATTCAAAGACTTCACCCATGGATGCTTCTGGCTTATTGGTATATTTAATTCAACAAATATTTTTAGTAAATTAAAGGGAAGCCTTCTGGAAAGTACAGTGGAAGGAGAATCCAAAGAGAGAGAATTTTCTGACACTTCCATTCCTAACTCTTGACCCTAATTTATACTCTGGGTTTTAGTTGCCCCATCTGGAAATTAAGAAGTTTCAACACCATCGAATTCACAAACAATATTAGGAATTAACCCATTTAGGCTTGTAATCTCATTTTCTATGTTCCCAAATTCATATAGAACAAAATTTGGCTTTGATCTTTGGAGTGTTAACATAAACCAACTCTTCAAAACTATAACATACAGGTATACCCTACCTCAATATACAGTAATGAACATTTAGAAATATGATTGAGGAGAAAATATACTTTTTAGTTGGGCAAATATTGATTTAGGGTCTTCTAAGAGCAGGGCTGCAGATAAAACAATGAGTAAGAGGCTCTTTGCTCACAGTCTGTTAAAGAAGAATCTTTGCCTCATAACAAAGGAGTGATCACAGGATTCTTAATGAGTTCTGCTTGTGCATGGAAAACATGAATTAACTTACTAAGCTAGTTTTATATCTTGCTGTCTAGAAACACACCTATAGTGAAAAGACAGCTATAGTTGCAGTTGATTCTAAGGTGTTTTAAAGGCAGGCTGTTATGTTACTATAGGCATATAGCTGCTAATACTTTTTAAAATTTTTATTTTATTGAAGTATAGTTGATTTACAATGTTGTGTTAGTATCCTGCTAATACTTTGTTAAAGCTCTGTTTAAAATTCCATATTTTGGGGACTTCCCGGGTGGCACAGTGGTTAAGAATCCGCCTGCCAACACAGGGGACACGGGTTCGAGCCCTGGTCCAGGAAGATCCCACATGCCATGGAGCAACTAAGCCCATGTGCCACAACTACTGAGCCTGCGCTCTAGAGCCCGCAAGCCACAACTACTGAGCCCGTGTGCCACAACTAATGAAGCCCACGTGCCTAGAGCCCATGCTCCGCAACAAGAGAAGCCACCGCAATGAGAAGCCTGCACACCACAATGAAGAGTAGCCCCCGCTCGCCGCAACTAGAGAAAGCCCATGCACAGCAGCAAAGACCCAATGCAGCCAAAAATAAATAAATTTATAAAATTCCATATTTTTTTTGCACTGAAGCCATAATACTGTGGCTTTTCCCACAGCTGGAATTGAGGGAAAACAGAATAGCACCTGACAATGAATGTGTATGCATCTTTGAGCCCTGACAGAATTCAGAAGATGATTTATTTGAGCCTTGCTTCAGAGGATGTTTCTATGTAATTTTAGTATCTTTAAGGGATATGTTTAGATTATTCAACCAGTAGAGATCAATCGTTTGTTCAGTATTTTGGCCACTTTTCTCTGCTGAGACCAAAACAGTCATCCAGCAGAGGGAGTACAAGGCAATTACCAGATTTGCTTCTCAAGACTCTGATCTCACACCCTCTGTGTGTGGCACTTTGATACGCCCTGAGCCCTCATGCTTGCAAGAAAGCAAAGCCACTATCCCCCTTACGTAGGCTCTGCTAACAGACACATGAATCCATTTTGAGAAAATTTGGGAAAGAGAATTATTTCAACATTTTTCTTTTGTTCCATTAAATAAAATAAAGCAAAGTGTTGATTTCAAAATCAGAAAAGTCCAAGTCATGTCAAAAACACCTTAGCCTGGGCTTCCCTGGTGGCGCAGTGGTTGAGAGTCTGCCTGCCGATGCAGGGGACACGGGTTCGTGCCCCGGTCCGGGAGGATCCCACATGTCGTGGAGCGGCTGCCTGCGCGTCCGGAGCCTGTGCTCCGCAACAGGAGAGGCCACAACAGTGAGAGGCCCGCGTACCGCAAAAAAAAAAAAAAAAATTCAAAACCTGTTGTTAATTTCCTTCTTTTAACATTCCAGCTAGACTAATTGAATGACCTGCGGGGGAGAAGTTAAAAGGTAGTAGCATCCAAAGACTGTGAATTTCATACGATGTTATCTTAAAAGTCCTGTTCATAATCACTGCTCAAACCAAACCTACTGTTTATAATTTTTTACCAAGAGGTTTGCTGTCTCACCCATTTCTTTCAGGTCTCCATTCTTTTGCTGACATTAATGCTTGTTTTTGCAAGCTTTGGAGTTCAGCTCTTTGCTGGAAAACTGGCCAAGTGCAATGATCCCAACATTATTAGAAGGGTAAGATATTCTTTCTGTCTTTTGGGATGAAAATCAAGAACATTTACCATCCCTGGGTAGCCATGTGCTGAGGCTGCTTTGAGAACAGAACTCTAAGAATACTCTTCCCATGGACTCCCTCTGCTTAAAGCAGGCAGTGTGTCTCTTCTGGCTGGTAAAGGTTTATAAGATTAAAACACATCTCAGACAGTCCTGTTCCTCCCTCCTATTCCAAGGTCAAGCCACTGTTGACATCTTCCATATAGTCACCCAAGATTCCATGTGCAAATTTTCCCTTTAGGTCTTCCCTAACGTAATCCTGCCTCTGCTGTGACCTGAGACTCATATCAGCAAACAGCTCCCCCAAAATACAAAGGGCAGAGTTTGACTTCCACACCCCTTCGTATGACTTATCCACTCCACATTCCTGTTAGGAAGTCAGGGCCTTGCATTAGCTCTTAGCTGCCCAGAATCTCCCCCATGAAGACAACTAAGATTCAAGCTTGAACCAAGCTTGAATACTTTAGATTCTACTTTTTTTTTTTTTTTTTTGGCCGCACTGCATGGCTTGTGGGATCTTAGTCCCCAGACCGGGGATTGAACCCAGGCCCCGGAAGTGAAAGTGCCAAGTCCTAACCACTGGACCGCCAGGGAAGTCCCTCTACTCTTTTCTTTCTCTTTCTTTGGCCGGTGTTATAAGAGGAGGCTAGCTTCTGGAACAGCCCCAATATGTCAGTAGCTGAATGTAATGAAATGAATATTTTTATTGCATGTTGAATAATTCAGGCAGCTCTCCTCCAAATGACCACCCAGTGGCTCATGCCTCCTCTGTCCTGTGTCCCTAGCCTTTGCTGTCTTCAGAGTCTTCTCTGTTTAGCTGGCAGTTAGGAACAGAAAACCATCTCTCTCTCAGAGGACTACAGGCAGAGCCTAGAAGCAACACATCTGTCTTCATCCCACATTCCACTGGCAAGAGCGTGGCCTCACCAGACTGATGTGAGACCGTGATGTGTAGTTTCGTGGTGTATTTTGTAGAAAAGGGGGCGGGGTTTGTTTAATAATTAGCCAATCTCTGCTGCATCGCCCACTGTCCCATTCTCTTAGAATCCTGCCCGATGTTACAAGTAGGTTAATGGAGTGAACCCAGTTCTGCTGATGTATAAACTAGCAAGAGTATTTCCTCTTCCACCCAGGTAAAATAATGCTTAAGTCTCATTAAAATGCATGTTTCCAAAAGGGCTACCAGAGCGGAACTAAAACACTTATTCCCATATTTCCAGCAAACATGGCTGTCTAATATAAATTTTATACTACTATGACATTTCTACATTTTGAGGCTTCTAATTATAAAGCTTAGTAGCTCTCGAATTTTTAGAAACTACAGGTAACATCTTTGTCCAGTCAAAATACATTATCAGTCATGTTAATAATGAGATTTTTCAGGAAGAGGCAGAGCAGAAGAGACAAACTTAGGATGGGCAGACCTTACGCTATTTCACAAGGTATCGCTCAGGTCGCTGCTTCCTTTAACTCCCCTTCCCAGAGGTTCCAGGAATTTTGATAAACCTGACAAGACATGCAGGGAACATGGTATAAAGGTCATGGTGTACCAAATGAGCTAAATGAAGGCAGTAATAATGAGCTGATGCATTAGTCCACAGGCTTATGTAAGGAAAGAAGGGTTATTTTAGGTCCACCCTGAACAGAGGCCAGAGAGATAATAACAACATTTCAAGATGAAGCCCCGTAGGAGTAGTGGATGACTCGGGGAAGTAATAATGGCCTAAGAGCCTTGAGATTTTGCACTATCTGCTCATACCCAGCCCAAGCTAAAGCGTAATGACTTGTATAGGGGACGGAGGGCACACGGTGGACGGACAGACAGACAGATACCATGAGGCATTTATTCTTTTCCACAGAACAATGAGGTCTGTGTGGGAAGCTCGTAAGGAAAGTCTAAGAAAACTTAGCCATCAAAAGAGCATCAGGAACAAGCAGAATAATTGCAAAACAAATTGGCATAGTGAGAAGTGGCCCGTGTCTTTGTATTTGGACGAATTCTTTTCTAGTCCTAACATAAGAGGCCAAAGCCAAGTGTGTCATGTGGATGAAGGGGATACTTCAGTTTACCTTTATAAAAGAAGAGACAAACCCAAGGAAAAGGGGAAACTAGATACCCCAGCATTTGGCACAGCTCACATTTAAAGGCCATGAAGCTCGAGTTGTTGGTGCCATGTCTCCAGATGGAATCGTATAATAGGTGGTGTTGGATGGCTGGCTTTTTCACTTAGCATAATATCTTCAAGGTTCATCCATGTTGTAGCATGTGTCAGTACTTCATTATTTTTATGGCTGAATAATATTCCACAGTATGGATAGACCACATTTTGTTTGTGTATTTGTTGATTGATGGGCATTTGAATTGTTTCCACCTTTGAGCTATTGTAAATAATGCTATTTATAATAATAATGATATAAACATTCATGTACAAATTTCCATGTGAATATATGTTTCATTTCTCTTGGGTAGATACCTAGGAGAAGAATTGCTGTGTCCTGTGGTAACTCTTTAATTATTTAAGGACCTGCCACCCTATTTTCCAAAGTGGCTGCGCCATTTTCCATTCCCACCAGCAGTGTATGAGGATTCTAGTATGAGGATTAAGATTTGTGCACATCCTCGTCAGAGTTTGCTATTTGACTTCTTGATTAAAGCCTTCTTAGTGAATGGGAAATGGTATCCCATTGTGGTTTTGACTTGCATTTCCCTGATGACTAATGATTCTGAGCACCTTTTCACGTGCTCATTGGCTATTTGTATCTCTCCCTTGGAGGCATGTCAGTTCATATCCTTTGCCCACTCACTAACATTTTCAACATCAACTTTCACCTGCTTATCTCTGAAGTCTTTTTTACTATTTGCTGAGTAGCTATGCACATGTCTGCTGTTATATAAAAGACCTCTGTCATTCTATGTAAAAAATGTTTCTTATCGTTTATCTTTTCTGACTTCATTTTCTGACCAGGTTCTTTTCCTCCTCCTTTTATTTTTTTTCCTGTTTTAGGAAGACTGTAATGGAATATTCAGAATTAATGTAAGTGTGTCCAAGAACTTAAATTTAAAATTAAGACCTGGAGAGAAAAAACCTGGATTTTGGGTGCCACGTGTTTGGTAAGCATATCAGAAAAATATCATAAAAAATGCTATATTTGTCAGTATAAGGGGCTTTTCCCCAGTTTTATTGAGAAATAGTTGCCATACATCACTGTATAAATTTAAGGCAAACAGCATGATGGTTCAATTTACATATATTGTAAAATGATTATCACAATAGGTTTAGTTAACATCCATCACCTCATATAGATCCAGCTGAAAGAAAAGAAATTCTCCTCATGATGAGAACTCTTACTGTTCTCTTAACAGCTTTCCTGTGTATCACACAGCAGTGTTAACTATAGTCCCTACGTTGTACATTACATCCCTAGTATTTATTTGTCTTATAACTGGAAGTTTGTACCTTTGACCACCTTTCTCCACTTCCTCTCCTCCCCCCACCTCTGATAAACACAAATCTGATCTCTTTTTCTATGAGTTTAGTCGGAGGGGTTTTGCTTTTGTTTTGTTTTGTTTTTTTAGATTACACAAGTGAGATTATACAGTATTCGTCTTTCTGTGTCTGACTTATTTACTTGCATAATGCGCCTTCGTGGTCCATCCATGTTCTATATAAGTATATATAGTATAAGGTTTTAAAGCAGTATAATATGGCATGAAACTAAAAGTAGTTCTGCTAGAATTACTTAAAATAATTTTAAGTAATGCAAGGCAAAGCACTGAATTACAATAGGATGCAAAAATAAAAGAAATAGGGCTTCCCTGGTGGCGCAGTGGTTGAGAGTCTGCCTGCCGATGCAGGGGACACGGGTTCGTGCCCCGGTCCGGGAAGATCCCACATGCCATGGAGCGGCTGGGCCCGTGAGCCATGGCCGCTGAGCCTGCACATCCGGAGCCTATGTTCCGCAATGGGAGAGGCCACAACAGTGAGAGGCCCACGTACTGCAAAAACAAAAACAAAATAAATAAATAAAAGAAATAAGATAAATAAGAGAGGAAGCGGTACACTGAGTCCCAGGGTTGCTTCATGAAACTAATGAAATATCACTGCAGTATTTTTCTAATACTTTAAAGTATGTATCTGGACTCACATAGCTTTAAAAATTAGTGAGGCTTATAATAATATAAAATATAAATATAATTTATAATATATTTTATATATATATTATTATATATAATTATATATATAATATATATAATATATATTAAATATATAATATAGAAACATAATAATATATCAATATATAATATATATGTCATATATTTTATATATAATATTGTATATATTATATATAATTATATAATATAATAATATATAATAAATATATATTGATATATAATATTAACAAATATAATATATAATATGGATGATATATATCTATAATATAACATAGGACTATATAATATATTACATATTATATAGTATATATATTATATACGTTATATATAAT